TCGGGCAGGACAGCGCTCACTCTGCCCTCAACACACACAATTTGGTGCTCATGTTTCTGGAGACTAAAAAGGGCTCGAAAACATCACCCATAGGAGGTGCTGGGACCCTGGTGCCTGGTCCCCAGGCAGCCACCCTAGTGGCATCCACCCCGTGTCTCTGCACAGGCCCCCTTTCCAGCCCTGCTCAGTGAAATCCGGGGCATGTCCTCCACCCCTGAGGTCAGAGGTCATGGCCACAGAGCGGCCTTCAGAAGGGGGCCAGGCAGCCGGGGGGGCCTGGGCCTGGTGTCCAGACCAGCAGCCTGGCTCCATGCTGCGCATTTGCCTCTTTAATCATTAGCCTGGAAAGTGTCAGCAGCTGCTGGACTCTGCGCATCCTCCCCAGCATAAAATATTCACCAAGAGAAACCCCAAACAGCAACGCTGCCTTCCGTGTCATCCGGGCCCTGGGGATGGAAGCTAAAAATAGACAGGAGGTAGAAGACTTGCTGACAAGACAGACGGGGAGGGGGCGGGGTGGGGCGGAGGCCTGAGCCCCCCCACAGGCACCGGCGGGCTGGCTGCAAGGAGCTCCTGTGTGCTTGGGGAGGCAGACGGTGTCACACGGCGGTCCTCAAGGGAGAGCACACACAGGCTGAGCTGAAAACTCCTCTCTGGGGAGCTGCACCCTCCCTGCCAGAGCCTGGGCCCCAGGACACCTCCGTGAAGAATCAAAGACCATCTTTAATTAGCAAGATAACAGGCTGGATCAATGTGAGGCCAGCCAGCAGGAAGACAGGGCCATCACTAACTGCTGGCCCCTCAAACCTAGGGATTCGGCCACTGTCCCCTTCACTCAAGCAGGTGTCTTTCCCCACCTGCTGGGCACCAGCATCCCTTCCTCTGGGCTGGCCCTCCACCTGTGACTGACACCCCCGACCCACGTCACGGGTTTCTAGAAAGGGCACGGGCAGCTTCCCGGGTACATAGACTGGCCCAGACCCAGGACTGCTTTCCGCCTCTGTGAAGGTCATGGGTACCCCCACAAAGGGCTCCTGGACCACAGGTACTGTCCATGGGAGACTGGGCCCCTCCTGGCTACAGCTGAGTGCCAGGGTGCATGCAGGGCAGGCGGGGGCAGCCCACAGCAGCTGCTGGGCTCTTGGGCAGGCGAGCGTTACAAATCAACTACGGCTAGCACTTCGGACCTGGCCAGAAAACCCTGTCAATTCACATTTACTCAGAATGAGCCTTTGCAGAATGAAGATGGTCCGACTCCTCGGCTGTGCTTACTCTCATACCCATTTGGGGAGCCCTGCAGGCCGCTGTACCCCCTCAGCTGACAGCAGAGGAAAGGCCCCACGGGGTCAGAAGGCTGGGTCCCGGGGCTGGGCCTGGCCGGGATCAGCTGGGTGGCCTCAGGTGTGTTCCTGCCCCCTCCTCTGCCCCTACGGGCGGTCGGCTCCAGCCCCCAGGCCTCCAAGTCCCTGGTTCCTTTTACCCAGATAGTTTCTGGGAAATGGCTCCCCTGCCCCCAATACCAGGCCCTGCTTGAACGCAGCCCTGTCCATGAGGCCCTCCGTGGAAGGAACCTCCTTAAGTAGCAACAACTGTCCCAGGGAATGCCGATCCCCCACCTCCTGCTTCTTCCCCCATGACCCTCACCAGCATCTCACAGTCTGGTGTCCCTACTTGCTTACTGGCTCCCTCCAGGAGAGCGTCCGCTCCAGTGGGAGGGGTCCAGAAAGCACAGTGAACAGCAGCAGAGGAGTGTGGCACTCCCAGAACCCTCACCCACCCTCTGTGGCACGCACCCTCTGTGGCATGCTGTCCCCCTGGTACAGATGAGGAAACAGGGCGCCTGGGTGGCTCAGTTGGTTAAGCGACTGCCTTCGGCTCAGGTCATGATCCTGGAGTCCCGGGATCGAGTCCCGCATCGGGCTCCCTGCTCGGCAGGGAGCCTGCTTCTCCCTCTGACCCTCCCCCCTCTCATGTGCTCTCTGTCTCTCTCATTCTCTCTGTCTCAAATAAATAAATAAAATCTTTAAAAAAAAAAAAAAAAAAACAGAGGCGCACCCAAGAAGAGCAAGCCTGGGACCACACAACCATACACCCTGACCAGAACCCAGGCAGCAGGATGCCCATGCCCACGTGTGCCCCGACAGGACGTGTGTATCTGCAACAGTGAGGGGGGAATCCCTGGGGCGTTCAGGGACCTGCAGTTGCCAACTGCCCACCAGCAGGGCACTGACCAACGCAGTGGGGGAATGTGGCTGGAGAGGCGAGCAAGCCCATGAGCCACCCACGGGTATTTTCCTGAGCCCCACTCTGTGCCGGGCATCCTGGAATCACACATCGGTCTGGATGCACCGGAGGATCTGAGATGGTGCCGGGTGCTGGGAGATGGTGTGGGAACAGGAGAGAGTCGCTGGGCAGTGGTGGGGGTCAGGCTTTATCTCGAGTGTGGAGGGAAGGTGATCTAAGGATGAGCTGAGAAACAGTGGAAGGAGCTGCCTCCGCAAGAATCTGAGGGAAGGCGTCCAGGCAGAGGGACAGTGCGTGCAAAGGCCCTGAGGCAGGAATGAGTCTGGGGGCTGAAGCCAGAGAAGCCAGCTTTGCTGGACCCTGTGCCGAGGGCACCAAGGCCAGAGAGCAGATTAGGTGGGAGAGGGAGAAAATCTGATTTTAACAAACTTCCTCTGCTCCAGTGTGGGGTCGGGTGGAGGGCAGCAAGCCTGGAGGAGGCAGTACAGCTTGGGGCTGAGCAGGGATCCAGCCAGAGATGGGGCCTAGAGACCGTGGGTGTGGGGGGCTGAGCAGCAGAGAGGAGAGGAGCCAGGCACGTTCCCGGGCTCACTGAGAGAGGGAACCCGTGAGGACCAGTGGGATTTTTTGGGGAAGGATGATGAGCTCAATTCAGGAGACATCACGTTTGAGATGCGTGCGGGTCCCTATAGGAGACTGGCAGAGCTGGCAGAGCCGATCGGGGACGGAACCGTGAGCACAGAACAGTGCTCGTGGCACGAGGCCTGGACCCAACCACCCAAGGGGGAGGGAAGGGCATGGTGGGCACCCGTCAGGGCCTGGTGTTTGGGGGATCACGGATTGACTGTGTGGACACTGCGGTCCTGTGTCAAGGGAGCACAGGCTCCCCCGAGGCCTGGCGCATCATGCCAGGCCGGCGAGATAGAGACGCACAGCGTCCTTGCATCTGGCCGCGCTGCTGGAGCCCGGAGGCTAAGGAGAACAGAGAGCAAGCATTTGCCTGTGTGAGGCGGAATTCAGCATTCGGGATGGGGCACTGTGACAACATGGAAGAAGATGGGACAGGGGTCCAGGAGAGAGGCAGGGAAAGCCTGTGTTTGAGGGCCAAGAGGAGCAGGCAAGGTTCTGAGGAAAAGTGGCCCAAGACCCAGAGACACGTGGCTGCTAAGGTCAAGGCCAGAGGCGGTCAGGGGGAACACACGCTCATCAGCCAAGGGGACAGGGTGGGCATGGGAGCCATCCCCCCGGGGCCACGTGTCAGGGCGAGAGGCAGCGTGTGGGATGCACACCCCCAGTCCTCACGCTCGGGCGAGGCTGGTCTCAGGGAGGCTCGTCGGGCTGACAGCAGGAGGGCTGTGTGGGGCTCCCTGCCTGTAGAGGGGGCAAGTTGGGGCAGAGCTCTGACAGAGAGAGGCTGCGGGGCCGGAGGGAGCGGCACGTGGGAGCCTAGTTCCCGGCCCGCGTGAGCAGCGGGTCTCCACTGTGGCGTCTGTCGTAAAGGTTTTCAGCGCCCGCTCTTCTCCTGCAGGAGGCACAGGATCTGCCTGGGGAGCAGCCACCCTGGCTCAGGGAGCGGCAGGGGGCCGCATAGTGCCAGGAGCTCGAGAGAATGCCCCCGCCCCCGCCCTGGCCACTCTGCCCCCCACCCTCACCCCGGGGGGGCAGGGAGCTCCCCCTGCGGCCCCACAGGAGCGGCCTCCAGCAGCAGACGTGCCGGCCGGCTCAAGGGGCGTCAGGAGCAGCCCGAGCAGCCGCAAGTCGTGTGCTGGACCCAAACGCAGGCTCCCCGGGATGGGACGTATCACCCTCCACAAGCACCTCAGCCTTGTCGGCCCAACGGGCCCTCGTCTGGTGACGGGGGGCCAGCAGCGGGGGCCCCGCTCCCCAGGGCTGGGGTGCTGCTGGCTGCGGGGAGCCCCAGAGGCCTCGCTGGCCGGTGCGTGGACAAGGTCCAGGCGGGACTGTGACCGGCACTGGCAAGGGATGTGTGAGGCTTACGGTAAAACCATCCTGGGCCTCAAGGGAGATCTGGAAGCAGCGTGCATGTGTTCACTCATTCATTCACTCATTCATTCATTCCACAGTTCCCGAGCACCTCCCAGTCAAGCATCCTCACCACCCACCCACCACCTTCCCCATTCCCCACTTTGGACGTCGGCCACCTCTGGCTCCCTGACTCTCCCTGCGTCCAGCACTTGTCAAATTGCTGGGATTCCTGCTCCGGGACCCTTCAGCACTGCGGTGGCAGCATCCCACGTGAGAGGCTGTGTGGCCAGACACCTGCCATCTCTCTCTGCATACCCAGGGCAGAGCCCGGCCAGGCAGCCGAGGCAGGGAAGGACCATGAGTCCCCGATGCCCAGCCCCGTGCTGTCGGGGTTTGGCTCAGCCCCCATCAAGCAGGACACTCAGGCCAGGTTCTCCTTGAGAACCCATCCCTCGGGAGGGTCCTCAGCCCCACTGTAGCTTTTATACGTAGCTCTGGGAACCCCTGGGCACTGTACTCACCCTTGAGAGAGAACCCTCAGAGCAAGGAGCTGGTGAAGAGGTCTCTCCCGTCCTGTCTGCCCGGTCTGACCACACAGTCCACAGGGGAAGGCCCTCGCGTTTGAGGGGCAGTGCAGCCCAGGTCACTGGGCCGCGAGGTGGCCGGCCGGGCCAGGGCCCTGCCCCCCAGAATGGACTCATAGGACTCAGTCTCTCTTGGGAGCCGCTGAGTGCTGGCGGGGCCAGCCAGCAGGGCGGGCGGTCACTCACCACGAGCTGGGGCACGGGCAGCGACTTGCCCTCCTGGCTCAGGGACACGTAGGTGAAGAAGGCACTGGCAGCCCGGTAGCGCTTCTGCGAGTTGTCCACCACGGGGTCGGCGTCCACCAAGACCTCGATCTCCATGGACTTATTGCTCGTGAAGGTCATGCGTCCAGAGATGGTAATGACGTAGCCTGTGGGGCACGCACAGCGGGTTAGCGGAGGGCACCGGCGGAGGGGCGGGAGGGGCGGGAGGGCACAGGGGGCGGTTCACCAAGGGCGTTAGGAGACACCTGGTTAGGCAGCGTCTAACAACTACGAGGACATGGAAAGGACGAATTCTCACCGCGCCTCGTTAGTAGCCCCGAATGCTCATCTGCCTCGGGAGCAGGTGTTTGTTTTTAGTGTTTACGTGGACATTTGGAGTGGTGGCCGTCACCTGGCCCCCTGCCCCCTGGGAGGGGCGGCCCCCCGCCTGCTTTCAGGCAGCTGGGGGGTGAGCTGGCTCTGTCCCTCTGAAGTCACATTAAGGCCACATAGCCACACCGTCCACACTGTGACTTACTGTGCCACACGGCTGCCCCGCCATGTTGCTCTAAGCCACCTTCCGGTACCTTCCCAGCTCCCTGGCTATTGTTCCTGATGCTGGTCTGACGGCAGCCTCGGGCGCTTGGCAGGGCCAGTGGTCATGTTGACTCTGGTCCTGCGTTCCCCCAGAGCCACTGCGTGTACTTCAGCCCACGTCCTCCTGCCCTTCTGTCCTGTCAAAACCACGTCTGTGCCGTCAGGCTCTCCCTCTCTCCGGCTGGCTTGCTCACGGGACCAGAGCTCTCCTCGGACCTGCGGACCCTGCCCCACAACATAGCCGAGACCCTGAACTTGGTCTGAGTCCCCAGGTGCTCACCACCTGCCTGGGCTGGCATGGTTTCCCTTGTTGATTATGATGCAGTCCAGAGTCCTACGTTCCCATAACACCATCCCGGGTGTCCCTCTCCCTCTCAATCTCAACCCAACCTCCCTGTGCTCCCCATGCCCTTTGGGTCATGACTCTCCACCCTGGCAGCTGCTTCCCAACCTAGAGTGGTTCTCCTCCCCCCAGCCCCCCATTCACGGGCTCTCGCCTGCCATCCAGCCTTGGCCCTTTCGCACCTTGCTCCCTTCATCTCACGGAGCCCAGTCTTCTCCTATAAACAGACTTGACTTGCCTCCCAGGGTAACTATAGGGAAGACACGAAATGACACACCAGGTGCTAACCTAGTGCCCAGTGGCAGAAGGCACTCAGCACCGTCATTATCATGGCTGATGGTGTGGCTCTGGACCACAAGGCAGCACTAATCCTCAGGGGCTTCCGGGGGGAGGGGCTGACACCCCCACCAACGTGTAGCCAGAACGGTCCCCCAGCCCCCGCTCCCAGCATGGCCTCGTTCTGGGATGGGTTCAAGGAAATCCCTGCCCAAGTCTAGCACATGATGCTGAGACCCGCTCCCTGGAACCAGCCCTGGAACCAGTGCTGGCCGTGGGAACCTCTTAACAACCCTGGGAACCCTGGTGTCCGAGCTCCGAGGAGACAGGCGCCACGAGACACATTCAAAGACCCAGGAGGACAGACAAGTCAAGATAGCGTGGTGACTGTTAGGGGTGAGCATGTGGGCAGGCCAGAAGCAGGGGCAGTTATTCCATGTTACAGAGTACCAGAATGTTCCAAGCCACATTCAATTTCATACTTACAGGGAGGGCTTCATGTCCCGTACAGCCATTTCCGGGAGGGAAGGAAGGCCACGCGGTCAGTGACAGGGCCATTATGGGAGCTCTATGAGGGCAGAGTCACGAACAAAGCACCCAACACACACCTGTGGCCAGGCTGAGACCAGAGTGCGAGCACGTCAGGGCCCAGGGTTGGTGGGCAATTCCTGTTGCCCAGTTAGGAGCTGCCTCTGTGACCCACAGGCTCACCAGGCTCTGGCCGAGTTACAGGCGGCTCGGCACCCGGGGCAGGATGGGGGAGGTGCAAATGCATCTCCCTGTGTCCTTCCCATCATCGTGTCCTCTCTACCCCCAGAGAACCTGTGATTGCCACGGGGGCTCTCCTGAGAGGAATACAACACACCAATTCTGCTTCTGGTTTCGGGGGGTCAGGACAGCCCTGCAGTGCTCCCCAGTGGCCCCCAAGTTGAAGGCTCTGTTTTGGATGACCCCGTAGGTGCACCTCTGTTCGGAAGCATGGGCAAACCCCCATCTGAGTGTGCCCGGCATGAAGGCGGCACCAGGCAGGGTTGCACTCATGACCACACCCAGCCAGGGTCTGCGGGACTTTTAATAAGAGAACACACAGCATCCAGGCTCGACCTGCTCACCTCCAGGGACCGCCAGAGGTCAGTGGGGGCAGGTGCTCATTGCAGCCATCATGCACAGGGCTCTGGTGGACAGAACCTGCTCCAAGGCTCAGCCTGGCCTGGCTCCCCCTTCCTGCCGCTTCCTTGAGGCTGCAACAGTGCTTTCTCATGGGATAGGAGCTGGACCAGGGGCCTGCAGGCCCCTTCATCACCCAGAGGGGGAGCAAGGCTGTCGACGTGGTTCACCAGGGAGCACGGGGCTAGGACACAAGGCCAGCGGCAGGCTGCCCAGACATCTCATGGAGATGGGGTGTCAGGCTCCTTCCCGCGAGGTCTGGCTCATTCCATACCAGGTGCAGGGGCAGGGCCACAGGAGATGCGTGCCAGGCCTAGCCCAACCCCCGCCTGGACACCACCTGAGACAGGGAAGGACCGCAGCGGCTGGTTTGTGTTGGTGTGCACTTCCGTTTGCCCGAGGAACTGCAGACTGGGGAGCGGGACCTGCCAGGCACAGCAGCCAGGCGCTCAGAGGCTCTCTGTGGGGCACGGCAGAGGCAGGGTGGGCCAGAGCACGGGGACACTGCCTGGGAGCTTTTCCACTAGGTCACATGTCCAAATCCACCCAGAAAATGGCTTGTTTATTTAAAAGACCAGGCGCGACCAGCTCAAGGGGGAAATCGCCCCCTGTCATCGGTGCTAGGAGCCACGAGCCCACCAGGACAGGCTCAGGTTGTCAGGCCACTCTCCTGGCCTGGGGGACGGAGGCCGGGAGGAGACCCCGAGTTCTCCTCTGAGCTGCTAAGTGGGAACAGACAGCCATTCCCTGCCGAGTGTCTCCATGAAAGTTAGGCTCTCTGAGGCCCGGAGTGGCCCTGGATGGCCCGCGGTGCCCTGCGGAGGACCTCGGGTTCCACAGGCTCTGGGGTGCACTGGGCAGGTGGCCAGCCAGGACCCACACCGTGCCTTGGCTTCCTCATCTGCAAGCAGGCACAGGAGTAGCTGTCTCTCGGGGAGGTTGTGACAAACCAGTGAGCCTGCAAATGTGGCCACGTGGAGGTCACTTGCCCACATTAATTATGTCATGTGGACGTTTAGCCCAGGACAGAAATATCTGGTAGGGTCTGAGTGCCCTTCTGCTTAACAGCCCTCCAGGAAAAGCCACCTTAAGCCCAAAGGCGGAGTGTGCCCACACAACGCTCTTAGGGTCTTTGGGTGGAGAATTACACCAACACGGTAATAAGAAGTAACGTTTAAAACAAATCACATTTTTTCTCTATAGCGGGCACATAAATGCTGGCCAAGAGGCTGCTTCTAACGCTGTCTAAATGACCCAACAGGCTATTGCATTAGCAAGGGAGATTTTACGTTTTCAACTTGTGAAGAACACAGGGTAGCAAAGCATTAAAAACCCTGCCCTTTCTCTCCAGGTCCCAGGAGATGAGCAACTGTGCCTGATCAGACGCCGAGACGTGACCAGAGCAGCAGTGCTCCCTGCACAGAAGGCCAGGGCCGCAGCTCAGCTCGCCCGGTACGTCAGCGTGGTCTGAGAGGCCAGGACTCAGGACCCCAGGACGTACGGTACCCTCTAGACCCAAGTTCCGGTGCCAGCTCTCTGTAAGAGGCCGAGACTCGCCAGGAAGCTCACCACCCCTGCTGCCTCCCTGCGAATCCCCCGGGCCTCAGAGGTGCCGGATATCAGCAGCTGAGGGGTTTGGGACAGGCTGAGGGGCACTTCCTCTCAGGCCTCCCCAAAGCCCCCCAGGGCTGAGCTTCTTCTTGCTCTCCTGTGCGCTCTGCCAGGGTCCTGTCTACAGAGCTTATAGGAGAAGACACAGGGCGGGGAAAAGGCAGGGCTCGGAAACAGTCTGGAGCCCTACCTGCTTCTGTGTCAAATGGAATTAACGGACTACTATGGCAGGAGGAGCAACGGCCCCCAAAGATGTCCATGTCCTAATCCCCTGAACCTGTGAATTATGTGGCCTTGCATGGCAAAGGGGCTTTACAGATGTGGTTAAGAGCCTGGAGATGGGGCGACCGGCCTGGATTATCCAGGTGGGCCCAGTCTCATCATAGGGGTCCTCCGAAGTGGATGAGGAGGCCGGAGCAGAGGGTCAGAGAGATGCCACCCTGCTGACTTTGGAGATGGAGGAGGGGCCGCTAGCCAAGGAAGGCAGCTGGTCTCTAGACGGTAGAATAGGCAAGCAGCAGATTCTTTCCTAGAGTCTCCACAAGGCACCCTGACTTTAGCCCAGTGAGACCCGGTCAGGCTTCCGACCTCTGGAACTGAGACAGCAAATCTGTGTTGTTTCAGCCACTATGTTGTTGATATGTTGTTACGGCAGCCATAGAAAATTAATACAACTACGTAGGTAGATGCTGCACTGGGTGACTTGAACGTAGCCCAGTTTTTTGGGGCTGCTGCTGACACTACATCGTAAGTAACTAAAATCAGGAGCACGGGGCGCCTGGGTGGCTCAGTCGGTTAAGCGGCTGCCTTCGGCTCAGGTCATGATCCCAGGGTCCTGGGATCGAGCCCCGCATCAGGTTCCCCGCTCGGCGGGAAGCCTGCTTCTCCCTCCCCCACTCCCCCTGCTTGTGTTCTCTCTCTGTCAAATAAATAAATAAAATATTTTAAAATAAAAAAAATAAAATCAGGAGCACGATACCTTATAAAGCTCAGAGAATATTACCTTTACATGGTTTTATCACATGTTTCTACCGCTTCATGTGATATTTCCATGTTTCAAGCAGGGATTCTACGTCAATACAAGGAATCTAGAAACTTGAAGAAGCTCCAAGTAAAAACGAATTCCAAAGGCAACTGGGCCAGGATCCCGGAAGCCACACGGTTGAAGACCTG